AAGACGAAGAAATAATAGATGAAAATGATGATCGGGAGGAAATCAAAATAGAAAACAACGAACTCAGGTCAGAGATATTTAAACTATTAAAGAGCCAGAAGAATGATGAAAGCCTCATCGCAAACCTCCAAGATATGCTGAAAAACAGCGGAGCAGCGAGAGAGAAGCACATCACTACTGAAAAACCAAAAGACCCAAAAATAGTGAGTGATATGACTACAGAAAAAAATACTATGAAGAAGAAAAACGGTGACCCCGCGTGAAATTTTGAATGGCAGCCATCTTGGTTTCAACAGACCTCCAGGGTGAGCGAAGCAGAGCCAATCAGAAAGCTCGATTCAAAATTTCTGGCGCGAAAAGCATTACCAGACAACGAAAACGAAAAAGAAAATTCAAACACCTCAGAAGAATCAGAATCGGAAAGTGAAAGTGATTCAACAGATAATCAGATAAAATCAGCAATGAAAACGCTTTTTGCTGCATTTGGGCCAAAACTAAAAATTACCAAGAAACTAACTAAGAAACAAGCAAGCAAGCCAATGCCTCAAAATCTACCCGCTCCCATCCTGAATACGAGAGCGACGACGCCCGAACCCAGAGAGCCCTGCCGATACCGCCCCACGCCACAAACCGATGCAAGCACCAACGCTCTCAAAAGAAGAAAAAGGACAGCCGACATCGTCAGGACTCCCAAGATCGAGCCAGAGACCGATTCATCTGAGGAAGAACTGAACGAGCGAGCCGCAACGACGAGAACCTCTCACGACGACTCCAGGGACGAAATGGACAACGCGCATGCGCGAGACTACGCAAACGGCCCAGGAAGACATGAATTGCTGAGAAGACCGTGCAGGCTCGTTGCGAGCATCCCCATGCCGTTTTGTAACTTTCTGCATTTACGAGACCACGGACTACCTCAGGTTGTAAGTAATGGACCTAATAATGTCGGAAATTTGCCCAGTGACTTCCCAAAGCTGAGGATAGATGGCATTAATTTACAAGAATGGTATCAGCAGCTCCAGGTTGTCTTTATGAAAGAAAACTTACTGTTTTTTATCACTAGTCCCCCAAAAAGACCTTGGACTCTAAAATTAGACTGTTTACACCATAGAGCATTTTTCTTATTAATTTCTAGTGTATCTCCTGCTATGTACCACAGCATTAAGCAAAATCTGACTGTTTCAGAAATTATTCAATGCATGTTCAATCTATTTCACAGTGACAGTGTAGCTACTACCACAAGGATGTCTAAAGATTTCTTTTCATCTAGGATAAAGCCAGGGGTTTCCATAAGTGAGCACTTAATATCTTTAAACAAAATAAGAGCTGAACTGCATTTAAGGGGGGAGGTGATTTCAGATCAAACAATGAAAAGTGTTATCATCAACTCACTTGACCCATCATGGGATAATTATATGTCACATTTAGACACAATCAATCTAGGATACTTATCCATAGAAAGTCTATCCAATAAGTTAATAGCTGAAGACAATTCAAGGAGGAGTCGCTCTAACAATCACGTAGAACACAAACCATATAGAAAAGTAGCTTTTCAAGAAAAATATAATGAAACATTTAGATGCCACAACTGTGGATCTAGGGAACACAATAGAAGAGATTGCCCCAAAATTTCAAAAGAAAGACATAGCTCAGAATACAGAAACAAATACAATTACAGACAGTCTTCCATTGATAGACATAGATATAGAAGCCCGCCAAATTACAAAGAGAATAGAGGGGGCAGAGATAATTCAAAGGATAGAAAATCTGGTTCACTGAATGGATTAAATAAACAAGACAACACTAACATACAGCAATCTGAGAACAACAATTGGTTTATTGATTCTGGAGCAACTAATCACACCACCAATAACAAAAATATACTGTCTTCATTTGTAGAAGATAAATTTGTAATAAAGGTAGCTAACCAAGAAAAAGTTCAAGTATTAGGTAGAGGGAATATAACCTTACCTGGCCTAGGAAAAATAGAGGGGGTATTACTAATACCCGAAATACCTCATAACATACTAAGTGCCATAAAACTAAGCAGGGATTCTGATATTAACATTGTCTTTTCTAAAGGAAAAGCGACCTTGGAGAAAAATAAAACAGATATAGGTACCGTGATGATTAAAGGGGGTCTACCTTATTTAATAACAAAAGAAAAATGGTTACATAACCTTGATTCAAATATGGAAGATTGTATTGAAGTAGATGATGAAAACATTAGCAATAGTGACAATGATGAATGTAAAATAGCTCATGATCACAAAGATGCACATAATGAGAAAAAACCAAAAATAGGTAAGCCAATTCATGATGAGTGCGCTCATATTTTATATAGGAAGTTAGGACATGCCAGTTTTCCTGTAGTACAAAAAATGACTGAACACGCAGGAGGTGTTAAAATAAAAAATTGTGAAAACTATTTGGAATGCTCAGTATGTAAGTCTACAAAACTAAAAACTAGCCCCAGACCAAGGAAATCAACTAGGTCAACCAACAAAATTTTTGATTTAGTACACATGGACTTAGTTGGTCTACTAACTCCATCAATCACTTATAGAAAACGTTACTTCTTGACCATAGTGGACGATTACAGTCGCTATGGGATTGTTTACACATTAAAACACAAAGATGAGACTTTTCAGAAATTTAAAGAATTTTATAAGCGCGTAGAAACACAACACAATACCAAAATAAAACAAATCATGACAGATAGGGGATGTGAATTCATGTCTAAAGAATTCTCCCAATGGCTGAAGGACAAAGGAATGTTACATTACACATCTAGCCCATTTTCTGCGTTTCAGAACGGAATTGTAGAGAGGAAGAACTCAACGTTACAAACCATGATTAGATGCACATTGGAAGATGCTGGCTTAAGCAAACAATTCTGGTCAGAAGCCCTACATTATTCCAATTACACACAGAATAGAACCTGGTCCAGCATTGTAAATAAGACACCATATGAAGTGATGTATAATAGGAAACCAAAATTAGCACACATGCACATATTTGGAGTCACTGCAGATGTACACATACCAAACAATTAAGAAGAAAGGGAGAAAATGTGTCCAGAAGGCTCAGATTTATGGGATATGAGACAGGCACTAAAGGATACAGATTCATTGACAATAATAACAAATTTATAGTTTCCAGAACAGCTGTGTTCCATGAGCAGGCCAACTGGTCTAAAATACATCTTAATGAAATATTTCCAAGTAACAACAAAGATGCAAAATCCCAAGAAAAAGGGATTATAGAAAAGCAAAATGACAACAAACATAGAAACAAAACCAAAACATGGACAAATAGCCAACACAAAATAAAGACAGACACACTAACAAAAAAGGAAGCAAGATATTTGCATGATAATAATAGTAAACCTGAAAAAACAATTAGAAGCACCAGAAATCAAATGCCAAATAAATACAAGGATTACATAATGCATATGGATGGTGAATCAACGACACCTAATACATATGAGGAAGTGTTAAAACTTCCTCGTAAAGAAAAAGAAAAATGGGAATTAGCAATGGAAAAAGAGATGGAAAGTTTACAAGGATTAAATGTATTTACACCTGCAATTGCTCCAAAAGACAAAACAATTATTGGTACTAGGTGGATATATAAAATTAAAAACTTAGAGGGAGGCAATACATTATACAAAGCCAGACTAGTTGCACAAGGTTATGCACAGAAATATCCGGAGGACTATACTGACACATATTCCCCCACAGTAAGAACTGAGAGTGTCAAAACAGCTCTAGTAGTAGCATCAGCACTCAATCTCGATGTATTCCAATATGACATACAGACTGCGTATCTACACGCAAAACTAGATAAGGAAATATATGTAAGAGCACCTCACAGTCAATACACAAACAAGAATGAGACTTGGTTGTTAAACAAGAGTTTATACGGGTTAAAACAATCTGGTAAACGATGGTATGATTGTTTAGTAAAAGTACTTAAAACTATGGATTTCAATGCTACTTCTGCTGATAACTGTTTCTTTGTTAAAAAAGGTGATAATTATGTAGAATTTGTATTGATCTATGTGGATGACATTTTATACATAGGTAAACATAAAGAGAGAAGAGAAACATTTGTAACTAAGCTAAATGAACATTTCTCATTGAAATCTTTAGGCAAAGTAAATAAGTATCTTGGTGTTCAAATTAATAAGACAAAAAGAGGATTCAAACTTACTCAGAGAGATAAGATCATAGAGCTCTTAAACAAATGTAATCTAAGTGATGCCAAACCTTGTGACACTCCTATGCAAACTGACTTCCTAAGAAATGCTGATGAATCATCCCCTGAATTCAAAGATAACACGTTTTATAGATCAGTCATAGGTTCACTTCTTTATATTTCCAACTGGACAAGACCTGATATCGCTTTACCTCTCAATTTATTATCCAGACATGTCAGCAAACCAACAATGTACCATTGGGAAGCTGTTAAAAGGATATTAAGATATTTGAAAAATACATTAGACTTTTGTTTGATGTTAGAACCTAATAATGTTAAGGAACCAAACCTCACATGTTACGCAGATGCGGATTGGGCTGGAGACACCTCATGTAGAAAAAGTACATCCGGTTATGTATTCCTCCTAAATGATTGTCCAGTTTACTGGTACACTGGCAAACAAGAATTAGTGGCCACTTCAACAACAGAGGCAGAATATGTTTGTTTATCTAAAGCTGCAAATAACCTTGTATGGTTTAATGATTTAATTTCAGATGTTTGGAAAAAACCTGCTTTACCTTTTGTTATACATGAAGACAATAAAGCAGCTATTCAAATATCTAGATCTGACGCCATTGGACAAAGGTCCAGACATATAGATATAAAATTTAAACATGTGAGACAATTATCTCAAGATGGATTTATCAGAGCAGTGCATTGTGAAACATCAGAACAATTAGCTGACATACTGACAAAGCCTCTACCTTCTAAGCAGCATAAATACTTGACTTCCAAGTTATATGTCCTGTATTGTCCTGAATCTGAATGTAATTGGTGTAGCTTAACGAATCGGCATTTAGAGGGGGATTTGTCACATGTAAATGCCTTATTCTCTAATGTGTAAATAGTATATGAACGGGGTATCAGGGGTTAATTTATTCTTCACTTCTTAATGTATTCATAATTCACCACTCCCATACTTAGCTCCACCCATTGTATATATAAGGAGCTGTATACACCCTTTTCCTTGCTTCTATCTGTGAATATTCAGTGAATATAGAATGCCTTGTGTAAATAAAGAGAGATATATTTGAACTCTTAACTCTTACTAAATTTATTGAGTCTGATCCTGAAAATATTGCAACATAGAGGTTAGAATCAAAATCATGTAAAGTATTAGCACTGCTTTACAAAGTCTTAGTAAGGCTACACCTAGAATACTGCATCTGACTGTTCTGGTCACATTTAAAAAAAGATTTTTGGAAAAAGTGCAGGGAAGAGCAACTAAGACCTTTAAAGGCCTGGAGGCTAAAGCATGTGAAGACCAGATGCAAGACTTGGGTATGGCTAGTCTAGAGAAAAGAAGGACCAGGGATGCCATGATAGCAGTCTTCCAGTATTTGAGAGGCTGCCAAAAAGAGGAGGGTTCAACTTATTTTCCAAAACACCAGAAGGCAGGACAAGAAACAGTGGATGGAAACTAATCAAGGAGAGAAGCAACCTAGAATTAAGGAGAAACTTCCTAACAGTGAATACAATTAACCAATGGAATAACTTGCCTTCAGACGTTGTAGGTGCTTCATCACTGGAGGCTTTTAAGAAGAGATAAGACAGTCACTTGTCTGAGATGGTATAGTGTCTCCTGCTTGAGCAGGGAGTCAGATTAGAAGACCTGCAAGGTTTCTTCCAGCTCTGTTCTGATTCTGATTGAGTGACTGTAACTCAAAGGCAGAAATCAAGAACATAATTGCATTGATCAACCATTCCTCTAGTCACCATTTGAAGTTATGATAGCACCAAATGAATGTTACATATGCCTGGTCCTCAAAATCATGGCCATTGCAGAGTCCCTACAATCAGGTGATCAAATAACACTATCTCCAGTCTTTCTTTTCTCTTTTAGAAGGTGCCCTTTGCCAGGTGTGGCCTGAAGAGGTGCCAGGCAGGAGAGAGGAGACATGTCCCAGAGGGCGAGCAGATTTGCTGCTACCAATGTGCCCCTTGTCCAGAAGGGGCCATTTCTAATCAGACAGGTAGAGTATACTGGAAAGGTAGAACTTTCAGGATCCAGGAAGCTCTTCATTGGATGAAAACACTAAGAAATTTTGGGTGATTTCTGGAAACAGTATCAAGAATAAAATATAATTTCTAATCAGACAGGTAGAGGACCCTTCGAATGGAACAAGGAAGACGTTCAGTAGAACAAAATATTAAGAGCTTTCTCGTCATTTATTTATTTGGCAAACACGTATAAGATAACAGATATAAGTACAAACATGATTATGATGAGGATATGAATAAATGGAGACAGTAGGACAGGCCCATTGGTGCTCTTATGCACGTCCCTTGCAGACCTCTTAGGAATGGGGTGAGGTCAACAGTAGACAGTCTAAGGTTAAAGTTATGGGGGTTTGGGGAAGTAACCACAGAGTCAGGGAGTGCTAGGTTTGGCCCGTTTCAGAATACAGATTTCAATTGTCCTGCCTGCACAGTCTAACTTCCCACCCTGGCAGGACTGCTCTCCTCACCCAGGGTGGATTCAAAGCAGCAATTTGTAAAAAAAAATGGCTGTCCTTTCCATATGTCCTGTTCCATAACAATGGGAAAACCAACTACTAATACTTTTTCGGAATGAATGGCACAGTGTGTCCAGGTTTTCAAGACTGATATTCCTTATAGTGCTGCTTCTATCAGGACCCTCAATCTCCCTGGAAACTTGTAGCCTGTCAGGAAAAAGGATCCATCTACCAATGTCTGTTAGCTCCTCTCTGAAAAAAAAAAAATTCTGAGAGGATGATGGGAAAAATTGACTCATTTCCTCACCCACTGCTGTTCAACATCTCTGTGTGTGCGCACTTGTGCATCTCCCTGTGTGTGTGTGTCACCTTCTGGTCTTATGACACAACAACAGATAATGCAGTGGTGAAATCCAATTTTTTTTACCACTGATTCTGTCGGTGTGGTGTAGCTTGGTGGGCGTGGCTTGGTGGGCGTGGCAGGGGAAACTCTCCACTCCAACCCCACTCCAGAGGAAGGATATTGCAAAATCTCCATTCCCAACCTACTCTGGGGGCGGGCAAAGGTGGTATTTGCCAGTTCTCTGAACTACTCAAAATTTCTGCTACCGGTTCTCTGAACTACTCACAATTTCCACTACTGGTTCTCCAGAACCTATCAGAACCTGCTGGATTTCACCCCTGAGATAAAACAGCAAATAGCAGGATTCCTGACTGATAGATCAGTCAATCTTCTGAGGCTTTAAATATAAAGAGGGGGAAAGAATGAAGTGCCAATTTTTCACTCACAAAGAAAGCCAAAATAATAATATAAATGCCCAGTGACAGGAGAAGGACATCTAATCTCCAGGCATTTAATTCTCAGGCATTTGGAATCAAGGACAATTTGCTGTTAAAGGCATCCTAAATTGTCTATGGGATTCTTTCTTTACATTCTTCTTGAATTGGACCTAACAGAAAAGAGTCACACATGAGTTCATAGGCTGGATTGGAGATAATGCTAACTGTGGGTGCTCTGAAATACTTAAGACAAAGATTCTTGTTTTCAGATGCAGTTCACTGTGACCTTTGTCCAGAAGACCAATATCCCAACAAGGACAAGGACCACTGCATTGCCAAGAAGATCCACTTCCTTTCCTATGAAGATACCCTGGGATACACTTTGGCATCTCTTACTCTTTTTCTCTCTTTGATCACATTGGCCGTCCTAGCAACTTTCTATAAACATCATGACACACCGATCGTCAAGGCCAACAACCGAGATCTCACCTATCTTCTCCTGGTCTCCCTCCTGCTCTGCTTCCTCTGCTCCTTCCTTTTCATTGGTCAACCGAGGAAGCTCACCTGTCTCTTCCGACAAACTGCCTTTGCCATTCTCTTTTCTCTTGCAGTTTCCTCTGTCTTGGCCAAAACTGTCATGGTGGTTCTGGCTTTCATGGCTACCAAGCCAGGGAACAAGACAAGGAAATTCTTAGGAAAATCACTGACCAATTGCATTGTTGTATCCTGCCCTCTTGTCCAAGTAGTTCTTTGTGCCATCTGGTTGATAACCTCTCCCCCGTTTCCTAACTTGGATTTTCACACCTTGATAGGAGAGACAATCTTGGAATGTAATGAAGGCTCAGATTCAATGTTTTACACTGTCCTGGCCTACCTGGGTTTTCTGGCCATCGTGAGTTTTATCATGGCCTTTTTGGCCAGGAAATTGCCCGACAGCTTTAACGAAGCCAAGTTCATTACTTTCAGCATGCTGGTCTTTTGCAGTGTTTGGATCTCCTTCCTCCCCACCTACCTGAGCACCAAAGGGAAGTCCATGGTGGCTGTGGAGATCTTCTCCATCTTGGCCTCTGGGGCTGGTCTCCTGGCTTGTATCTTTTCCCCCAAATGCTACATTATTCTTCTGAGGCCCCATCTTAATTGTAAAGAAAATATGATAAGGAACAAAAACCTCTAATTCATGAAGGGATGGGAAACATATTTATCCTTGAGGCATGTTTAGTATCTGATGATATTTATAAAACATGACAGAGAAGAAGAAACAGATCCATTTAATAATGCCTTACTCAAGTGCTATAACTGGTCATAATAGGAGTGAATTGGTTGAGTTGGGTAGATGTGTAAATTGAATGAATGAATGAATGAATAAATAAATAAATAAATAAATAAATAAATAAATAAATAAATAAATAAATATTCCCATTTTCAGCAATAATCATGCAGTGTTTTTCATTTCTTGCCTTCTAGTCGTCCTCAGTGAGACCCAGTGCTCTATGTAGAAATAAAGTTTGGTGTTCATTATTTCAAAGTGGATATTTTCTCATTTTACTCCTTTTCATTAAATATTTTACTATTTTCGTGTTTTAAAGGGTTTGGTTCTATCTCATTGTTTTTGAACACATGTGCTTCTTTTCACAGTCTCCTGAGGCTTTGTAGAATTCCATGCTTCTATTTATTTTACTTTTTTATGGTAGAATTTAAATTCTCAACTATTCATCCCCATTGCTGTTTATATTCACGCTAGAACCTTTACTTAGGTCAATAAGACAAGAGGTGAGCATAAGAGGATTGAAGATCAGAGAACAAGAATACAAGGTCCAGGCATTTGCGGATGACCTGGTCTTTGTTCTGGAAGAGCCATTAACCTCTGGATGGCGATTTATTGACATAATACAATTGGTGGGGTGGCTGGATTACAAATAAATAGGAAAAAAACAAATATTATAGTTAAAAACATGACGGAAATACAAAAATTAGAATTACAAAACACTTTGGGCCTCCAGGTAGTTCGTAAAGTCAAATATTTAGGGATTTGGCTGTCTGATAGATGCTCCTCAATAAAGGCGGATAACTATCTAAAATTAACTGAGCAACTAGACAAAGATTTGGAGAAATGGGGCAAGATGCAATTGTCATTAATGGGACGGATAGCCTTAATTAAGACCCACGTAGTGCCCAGAATGGTATTTCTCTTTCAAACGGCCCCAGTTAGACTAGATAAAACCTTTTTTAGGAACCTGGACAGGGCTACAAATAGATTTATTTGGCAGGGCAAGACGCCTCGAATTAAGTTGAAAAAGATGCAGAAACCGAAAGAACAAGGCGGGTTGGGGGTCCCAAATTGGAAGTATTACTATAATTCGGCGGTTTTGGTTTGGATCCGTGAGTGGATTACATTACAAAGGAGACGTCTGTTAGCAATCGAAGGTCATGATCTCCAACAGGGGTGGCATGCCCACCTATGGTGGCAGAGAGGCAAACCCCCAGCATACTTTACGAAACATCACATTCAAGGGGTCCTGATTGAGAGTTGGATGGAAATTAGGAAAACATATTATAATAAGGTACCACTCTGGGTTTCATCTGTGGAAGCTGTGATCTATCCGAGTCTGTAAAATCCAGAGAAAAAAATGACTTACAAAGGAAGATTAGACACGAATGGGAAGTTAAAAACTAAATTGTTACTTCAGGAACAAGGAGTGAACCTAGACTGGTGGACGTACATGCAAATTAGCAGTAAGTATATGAGAGATAGACAGAGACTTGGGATTAGCCGAGAGGTGCAGATTTTGGATAGAATATTATTGGGGGTGGATGAAAAGGTGTTATCAAAATGTTATAAATTCTTTATGGCTATGGAGGTAGGTGAGGAAGGTGTGAAGAATTTGGTTCATGCCTCGGAGAGGAATCTAGGTTATTCAAAAGAGCCTGAGAGGTGGAGCGAAATTTGGACTAAGAATATGAAATTAACCCGGTCAATAGGATATAAAGAAAATATATATAAAATGGCATATCAATGGCATTTACCGCTGGCCAGACTCGCAAAAATGTTCCCTGGAACACCCTCAGTCTGTTGGAAATGTGGCGTTAAAGAAGGGACATATTTCCACCAATGGTGGACCTGCCGAGAGGCAATGAAATTTGGAAGAATATTCTGAAGTGGCTCAATGAAATGTTGGGGCAGCGTATACAATTGCATCCTGAGGTATTTTTATTAGGGATAAGACCCGAAAATGTTAATAGAACGGCATGGTACCTGCTGCTGTATATAACAACAGCTGCAAGATTGGCATGGGCCCAATACTGGAAGATGGATATTAGCCCACCCAAACAAGTAGTAATTCAGAAAATAATGAATTGTGCGGAATCAAATCGGCTTACTATGTTCCTGAAAGGACGGGGGGGACACAGATTGCTATATGTCTTGGAGTCAATGGTATAATTGGATGTCAAATCGAACTATAAATAGAGTTATTGGATAAGCATGTCAATTGGTATATGTAATAGACTTTTGTGTCGAAGCATAAATCAGCTTCAATAGTCCCCCCTGGGGTAATTGCACTTGATTAGAAGCGGATGGATCTTGTTTTTCCATGCTGTATACTTTAAAGAAAGAAAGCCTGAAATATATTCTAAGAAACATTTTATTATAAAGAAATAAAACAAACTTATTAACTACATTGTTACCGGACAAAAGGAAAGATCAGGAAGTTTCTTCCTTAAACTTGGACATGTGCAGTAGCTCAGAGATAAGACAGAGATAAGACAGTCTTATCTCTGTTGCTACAGAGACATGATAAAGTTGTCTGGCAGGCTACAGTAATGCTCAGAATGGACGCTCAGCTGGCAAACACATAACACAGTGACAACCCCTTCTTTGTCAGTTGAGCGGACATCAGTTAAGGCACTCAGGTAAGGCACATCTTCTTACACAGATACTCGTGTTGAGCTGCTGGAAGCGGTTTGTTGAGGATATCAGCAATCTGATCATGTGTAAGCACATACTGCAATTTTACAAAACCTTGTTTCACTAATTGTTTTATATTTTTATAACGGATGTCAATGTGTCTGGACCTAGAACCCGTGAAACGTGATTCAGAAATATGAACCACAGATTCATTGTCTTCCATCATGGTGATCGGTCGGATCGGGTGTGTCCAGATATCTGTGACCAAAGCATCAAACCATGTTAGGGAATTACATGCATCTGAAAAACAAGCATATTCAGCCTCAGTAGATGAACAAGAAACAAAATTCTGTTTTGGCACATGCCAGTAAATAGGACATCCATTTAAGAACATCATATAACCTGAAGTATTTTTACGTGATTTCTTATCACTCGCCCAATCAGAATCTGCATAACTACATAATTCTGCATGATCAGTATATGTCCGTTCTGACAATAACCTCATATTTTTAGTGTGCTTTAGGTATTTCAATAATTTCTTTACACATGTCCAATGAAACTGTTTTGCTTTACCTACGTGTCGGGACAAGAGATTAACACTAAGTGCGATGTTGGGTCTAGTCCAACTACTAATATACAACAGTGTCCCAATAACTGAACGATAGAGTGTATGATCCTCGAACTCAGGACTTGGTTCATGTGCCAAGTTGTGAAAATCTGTTTGCATGGGTATGCGTACAGTATTAGCATCTTTCATGTTGCAATGATGCAAAATTTGCTCAATTTTATCCTCTTGTGAGAGACTAAACCCCTTCTGCGTTTTGACGACCTGAACACCTAAATAAGTGTTAACATGACCTAAAGATTTCAATGTGAAATATCTCTGCAAAGCTTTAGCAAAATTCTCACTCATCTGCTTATTTGGACCAATATAAACAATATCATCAACATAAACAAGAACTATCTCATATATATTATCAGATCTTTTTGTAAACACGCATTCATCAGTTTCAGACTTAATAAAGCCCATTGAATTTAGTTTGTCAGTAAGACATAAGTACCACATTAAACCAGACTGTTTCAAACCATAAAGACTTTTGTGTAGAAACCAGGTATCACCTTCTTGCTGTCAGAACCCTGGAGGACCTTTCACGTAGATCTCCTCATCTAGCATGTAGAAAAGCCGTGTCAACATCGAACTGGAAAACTTCTAAACCAAGAATAGTGGCAGTGGCTAAAGCAATTTTTACACTTTCAGTCCGGACTGTCGGTGAGTAGGTATTTGTGTAGTCCTCAGGATAACGTTGAGCGAAACCCTGAGCTACAAGTCTGACCTTGTACAATGACTCACCATTTGGCTTCTTTTTGATTCTGTAGACCCATCGGGTGCCAATGACTTTTTTGTTTGCTGGAGGATTTGCAGGCGTAAATACCTTAAATTTCTTTAGACTGTCCATTTCAACCTGCATTGGTCATCCCAGCTTGTTATACAAAGCCAGAAGCATGCCTTTTATTCCTTTTAATTGAATTCTAAAAAATATTTTAGTGTTTTAAAGGATTAGGTTCAATGTGAGCATTTGTTTCCTGAGGCTTTGTAGAATTCCTTCCTACTTTTCAATTGTTTTCTGAAAGAATCAATGGATCAGAACATAATCAAGGAGAGAAGCAATCTAGAACTAAGGAAAAAATTCCTGACATTTAGAACAATTAACCAATGGAACAACTTGACTCCAGAAGTTGTCAATGCTCCAACACTGGAAGTTTTTAAGAGTATCGTTTGTCTGAAATGGTATAGGGTTTTGTTCTGTCCCTGTCTCACACATGCACACAAACAGTCAGCGAGGAGTTAAAATAAACTTGCAGACAATAATTTCCTTCGATAACAGAATTGGCAGCAACCCAGTAGCTGCTTGCCAAAAACTTTACTCACAGAGGGAGGTGTTCCTCCTCTGTCAGATAAACCAAAATAAATTCACAAAGCCAAAGTATTGTCAAGTCCAGTCCATAATAAATCCAAGGAAGGCAGATAACGAAGTTCCAGAGATACAGTATGACTCTCGGCCAGTCCACCCAACTGCACTGGAAACAAGCCAACACCAGAATGGAATAAAGCAGTTGCAATCCTTTAATTAGGTTCAGCACAGCAAACACAGGCAGGAGAAAGGCACAAGCCGGAAACAAGGTTTAAAGTTAGCGCTACATGCAATCACAGTGTAGCGCCTTTTATATACGCAGCAATAAATCAAGTGGCAATTAAACCGTTAACATCACCCCTCCTTCCCCTAGCAGGCCTGTAGGAGGAGTGCGCCTCTGTTACATCACAAGGCAGCGTCATCTGCAAACTCCATGCCCCCCCTATCTCCGATGAAAGAGTTTGCTTCGTTTTGTGCACGAGTGGTAAAGACTTCTCAAACAGCTGATGACCCGCCCCCGGAGAG